CCTAAATTTAGTGCGAAAAGCACCAAGTTGGCAACAGTGCTTCGGTACGTGTGTGTAGGGTATTTTACTTGTATGTTTTTATACTTGTTTAAATTATTGATTTTCAATTTATGGTTCTATGAATTTGTTTGTAGTTGAAAAGAAAATTTTTGATTATTAATAAATAAACTTTCCATATATAAACATTAAAATACTTTTATTTAAAAATAAACTTAAATATATATATATTCTACAGTGTGTTTGTGAGTGAACTCCTAAACGACCGAAAGGATTTTAATGAATTTTTGTATGTGTTCGAGTGGGTCCCTGTATACTTTAGGTCCACAACTTAAAACGCCAGGTGGCCCTGCGAGTTATTACTAAAAATCGTATTTATTATTCGATTTGGCTCATATTCGAGTTATATATTCGTATCGGTAGAGGCAATACTATTGCAAAAAAAAAAGAGCTGCAAGGTGGCGCTGAAGTCACGTTACTAGTAAAAATCGTCAAGTGAAGTCATTCGGAGACGCCAGGGATCAAAGTCAAATTACCACTGTTAAATCAACTACCAGAACCATTGCGGTCCTTGCTTTACGGCTACTAAACAGAATAAAGACAATTCTTGATAAATGCCTACAAATACAATTGTAAGTTATTTAAGGTATTTTGTCTGAAATAAGTCTGTGTATGTATGTTGGATTTCTGTGGACCAATGATACTACCTCATTTTGAAATTGTCATCAACTATACTATAATGATTAGGACAATGCACCATCGAACCCGATCATTGTTGCCGCAAGAACTTCTTCACGGACATAACGCTTTCAGTAGGTCAATTAATACGGTAATGGAGGATATGCCTCCTGACGACCACAAAACCAAACGTCAACGTGAATTGTTGGTGAACAAGTGAGACCAAATGTTTCAATAAAAAAACTAATTTTGGTGGGCCGAAGTTCGCCAGGTCTGCTAGTATATTTTATCATTCCGGTAAAAAAACGCAACTTTTGCTTTCTTTCACCAGAAATGGAAGTGGAACGATTTTGGGTGAACGGTATTTTACATAGAAATTTCGAAGTTGAGATAACAGCCTTCAAAGCCATTAAATAAAATTTCAGTAAACAAACAGTTTTTTAGCGTACGTATGAGTATTTCGTAGGCACATTAATGTAAGTACATCCATTAGTTTAAAAACAAATGTTTCTTATTAGTTAAATAATGACTGAGAAAATGGCCCATACATATTTACTTTTATATTTGATTTCGAACTAAAAGCGAACAGTGAGTGATGCCACAAAAAAGACGCAACTGTAGCCATTTTATTAAATTTTTCATTAACTACTGAACCCACACCCTTTAACTCTTAGAGGAAACATTAATTAACAGATTTAACGATTATTAGTTAAGTGCTCATTAGAGCTAATTTAATAAATGTTTCTGAGTGCAGCTGTTAGAATTTCTTTCTTTGGAATTTATTAACATTTTCTAAATATTTCATATATCGTCACTAGACACGAATAAAGACGCGAGCTCAAAAGTTGACGGCGAAAAAAGACGCATGAAAAAACTTTAGCGTCAAAGACTCTTAACATACTTCGCCGAAGTTTTTCATAAGCATCTTTTTTCGCAAAATTCTTTTATGCGCCTTTTTTCGCCCTCAAAACACTAGCGCGCCTTTATTTGTGTGTAGTGACGATATGTACACTGAGGGAAATAATGCGTAGTAAAAATGAATACTTTATATTTGATTATCGTTTAGAAATGTTCGTATTTAAAAATAATATTTGACTGTTCACATCTCAGTATGTATATGTAAGTGTACATACGCACCCCAAGCATGCAGAGCGCCTCTCTGAGAGCGGTGACAACACACACACATACATAGTACATGTTTATCCGTACAAATCGCGAGCTGTGGTGTTGATGGATATTCAACATTTGAAGGCAAATTTATATGCCTGGGTGTAGCTGAGTGCGCAAAAATATTTGCCACAACTTGTTGATATCCGGAGATGGTCGGGTTCGAATTCCACTGCAGGCAACATGCAAATTAATTTTTTTTAGATTTTGTCTTGATTATTCACTTCACGGATGCTTTTTCAGTACGAACGCGGTCCTTTTAATATGCGCGTAATTGCATTGAATATTTACCAATATACAGTACTTTCGTTGACGTTTATCGTAAGATAAATTATGTTTCTATTTGATTTTAATATTTTTTCCCCTCAGTGTACTACTAAAGTGTTAACTACATCTTGTGTGTATTTTTTCTAAGCAAAACAGTATTCTAATTGTATAAAAAAGTGCAGTGATTGCTTTAGAATCTCATTATTTGCCTAAGGGCCAAATTACACGTTCGGTGCATTTGTAGTGATTAGTAGATTTTGACAGTTACAGAGTGGTGTAGTCGCACTAAGCCAAAGTTTAAAATGAATTCGGAGAACAACCACACCTATCTCAAATTAATTTTATTTGTGAAATTTATTTCAAAATATTTTTTTTAAATGCAAGTGAAAATCTGGCTGCACTGGGAATTGTGGATGTAGAAAAACTGAATATTATATTCACAAGCCTGTGTTGAATACAACACTTGCTGCAACAGTTCGATTTTTTTAAAATCGATTATTATTTGGAATGGGCACAGAAAACAGACTACAGTTATAGTGAAAGCGATCCTTAATATATCGATGTCGAAGTAGAGTAGGGCTGCCATAATCCCTAACCCATCGACCAGGACACTTATTCCCTATAAATACAGTTTCTTTGGTTCTGGCGTTGCATTAATTTGAAGTATTTTAGCGCTTCGATAAGCACTGAAACATTGATAAATATGCTTGCAAATATGCTTGCAAAACAACATAAATGAACTACAGTTGAATGTTTTGTTTTTTTATTCAGTTTATTTCAAGGATTTAAAAATTACAATGGACACACAAGTGTTGATTGAAATTCTCAAATAAAGGATATCTGCGCTGGTTGTTTTAATATCTTTTTAAATATTCGTTATTTTCCATTTGAGATACATAAATTAGTTTTAATTCCTTCAATAACTCCAATGTCTTCCCGCAGAGACGAACCATTGGTTCTAATTTTTTGTATCCAAGCAGAAGTTAATAAAAATCAAATCTGTTCTTATGTTAATAGTTGAAAACATTTCTTTAGTTCGACGAATGAAAAAAGACCAAGAAATGGTCAAGAAAAATTTATTGAGCCAAACTTTCTTAAGCAGTACGAAGTTCTTAAGAAATTTTCTAAGCTTTCTCCTATGGTTTGCTAAAGTTTGTTTGTGAAGGCACTCTTGTTTTCAACAGAAATAAGAAAGTGAGAGATCAAAAAAAAGTATATCAGAGGTCAAAGCTCCTCGGACACTACTATTCACACACACAAAATAAAAGCAATTTATATCTTGATCGTTTTCTTTAAAGGTCCGTACTTAGCTTTATACATTGAAATAAGCAAAATAGGCATGACAGTTAAAATTAAGCTTGGAAACCCTGAATAAGCAAGCTTAAACTTTTCGGCCCTGATTATAAGCAATGCAGTTTTGTGGCACAATCCGTAGAGCTGAATGATTGATGATGAAGTTCTGTTCATAAAAGAACAGAAAGAGAAATCTCTTGACGGTGACGTTACTTGGAAAAATGTTTGCTGCTTTTAACGTGGTCTTGCCTTACCACCGTTAGCAAATTTCCACATATCCTACAATGCGCTTCATGATCATTTTAGGCTGTCTGAAGTGAAGCCATTCCAAAAGACTTACCCAAAAAAGACTGAAAAATGCATGCTTCCTAGAAAGGGGTTTCCTGTTTACAATTTACAATGCACTTACAATGGATTACAAATGGGATTCAATAAGCATTTTAAGTCTCAATAAAACATATTTGCGAATATTTAAATTCCTTAAAGAAGTATGTTTTTTATGAACAAAAAAAAACAGCCTTTAAAGAACTTCTTCAGAAGGCCTTCAGAAGTACGTCCTACAAAAGCCCTTCTGGAAGATTTTCTTTGAGTAGCGAAAGCAGATGCCCTTCATTTTGTGCCACTCCGTACAAAAAAAGGAAGGAGAAAGGAATGACTTTCAGTAAGGCCTTTTGGAAGAGATTTTAACTCCTGACATTATCCACTGCGTGATATGTGTGACCCCCACTTTTTTAGCATACGCCTGAAGATACAAAATTAGATTTTACCCCAAGTAAAGATGGTAAACTCACCAGATATTGTTCAACATGTTAGCAAAAAATGTTTCATTATCGATTTTCGACTGCTAATGCTTTTTTTCAAAACAAGAATCTGCTAAAAATTAGATGGGTGTCTGCATTGACCTTCATTAAAAAACCAGGGCAGTTTAAGTGTGGACCAGGACACAGGACAATTTGTTTAAATCAGGACAAATCGTAGAAAACCTAGGACGTCTGGCAGCCTAAAGTAGAGCCAATTCTCAAAAGTACTCGGTTCTTTCTATTACTAGTATTAAGCAGGGTTGGGCACGCTGCACTAAATACTTAATGCACTGAGCATTTCATTACCACTATTTGTGTAGGTGGTAGTGAAATTTGAAATGCATTAGCACTAAGTGCAAAGTGGTAGTGACAAACTGGTTTCACTACCACTATGCACTTAGTGGAAATGCATTTCACTACCACTACATGGTTAGTGGCTATAAATTTTTGAACAAACCTGTTGTAAGGAAATGGGTATTAAAATCACAGATCGCCAAATTTTCCTAAATTTGTAAACCAGTGTATTTAGTCAGTGATAGTGAAATTTTCGTTCCCTTACCGCTAACCAGACAGTGATAGTGAAATTCACTATGTAGTGCTAGTGAAATTCGAAATGCACTACCACTAACCATAGAGTGGTAGTGAAATTTAAAATGCACTTCCACTAACCATATAGTGGGAGTGAAATCCTCGATTTAGTACAGCGTGCCCAACCCTGGTATTAAGTCGCCGAAAAATACTACTTCCGCGAACATAAATATCGTTTTTAAAATGCTAATTAAGTTTTCTTAAATATAACACAATTCCCTATGTATTTTTTTTTGCAGTGTGTATGAACAAAACAATCGTGTACAACAAAGATAGACTGATAAACTTGATAGAGAAACGTCCAGCTGGTGTGCCGTTAGTAACAGTTTCAAATCATCACTCATGCTTCGATGATCCGGGATTATGGGGTAAGCTGTGAGCATTAACAATTATCAATTAATTAAATAAAATATAGTTAAATACATCCAAATATTCAATAAAATAAAAAATAAAAACTTTCATTTTACAGGTGTGCTTCCAGTAAAATATGTATGTAATACCTTCAAAATACGTTGGTCGATGGCAGCGCATGATATTTGCTTCACCAATAAATACCATTCGAATTTTTTTATGTACGGTAAGTGCAAAGCTTACAATTAAATTACATCAAGCAATTATAAGAAATTAATTGGATTTATTTATTTGATTGCAGGTAAATGTATTCCAGTGATACGTGGCTCCGGTGTCTATCAGGATGCAGTTGATTTGTGTATACAAAAGTGCGCTCTCGGGCATTGGGTGCATGTCTTTCCGGAAGGCAAAGTTAACATGACCAAAGAGGAAATGCGTCTGAAGTGGGGTGTGGGTCGTATCATATACGAATCGCCACAAATTCCAATTATTATACCTATGTGGCATGAAGGAATGGATGAGGTGTTGCCCAACACTGAGCCTTACATGTTGAAATGGGGCAAAAAGGTCACACTGAATATTGGCCAACCCATAGACTTGCATGATTTTATACAGGATCTCAAAGATCGCAAAGTGCCTGAGTCGGAGGCAAGGAAATTGATAACCGACAAAATACAAGATGTGTTTCATGTGAGTTTTGGAAGCCGGGATCAATTTTTTTTCTCAATATTAATTGTTATTTTCTCTCTTTGCAGCATTTACGTAAAGAAACTGTAGAACTGCATAAAAAACGGCAATAGTAATTAAGTAAATTTGTTTTAAATTATTTTATTAACGTTCTACTCATAGACTCATGGACGAAGAGGCATACACTTTTTATTTAGTCAGATATAAATGAAAAACACAGTAAAGTAGAAAATATTATGTTTAAAACCTTAGAGTAGCCCACAAAAAGTGTGACATTATCATTTTTACAGCTATCGTTCGAAAATGTTAAGCGATGTAACTCTTTAGAAAAAAATACATTATTTTTTCCTTTATTTTCCTTGCAAATACCATTGCTGTAGAAATAAAGACGCTAACCTAGTGAAAACAACGACGTATTCCGAAAAACAAATTATGTTAAAAATGCAACGTGCAATTTATTGAATATTTATGTAGAACATATATTTTTGACTGTAAAATAATTATTGTAATTTGCTTAGTTTTATGTGAATATTCAACGATAATATTATACGCTTAAAAACTAAACAAAAAATTCAATATACTACTAGAAACCGAGTATTCGTACAGATATATTGTAAAAAGTATTGTAGTAAATGATGTAAATACGATTTTAGATATGCATAAATACCGACGCCCTAAATTTATGAACATAATGAATTAGATATATTGATGAATGCATGTATTTTTATGTATGTTTAAAAATAAAATATATGTATATATTTCAACTGTAAGAGGATTGTTTGCGTTTGAGTGTTGCGCAAATTGTGTGTAAAATATTATTTTATGTGTCGAATAATGAACGCAAACGTTTAAAACATATGTTAAAAAAAAAATAATAAATTAGAAAAGAGAGCCGAAGGTCGTATTAGTGCTCCTTTTTCGGTAAAGGAGTGATCTTTCTCTCCTTTTCCTTTATTAATAATAATAATGATTATAATTAGAAAAGAGCATCACTGTCAAATTTTTAAGTATTATACATAAATATACGAGTACGAAAACGAAAACGCACTAAAACTTTTTTGCAAACAACGTAAAATTGGTGGGTCTATAACGAATGGCAAACGAACTTCAGTTACGCTGCTAGTGGCGGAAATGGTATGTATTTCAGTGGTGCTTCTTGTGTCTTTTTTCTGAAATGTACACCGCTGTGAAGGACTGCGAAAAAACATAATTTTGCTCTCGCGCAAAGTTAAAATTTCGTATAGAATTTAAACATACATACAGAGACGTAGTGTCGTTTCTATATACATCAGTTGCGTTGTTTTTTAAATACTAGCCAGTGGAAACTACTAGCAATTGTTACGAGTTTTCATGTTGTGGCGTTTTCGTATTTGAAAGGAAGATGTAAGTTTTTTTGTGTTCAGAAATGCATCAAGCCAAAGCATCAGACGCATTAATTTCTAAACTATAATTGATAGAAATGTCCAATATGCGCAACCACGGTTAAATGCCTAATTGGAGCATAGTTGCGTAAATGAGGCATTTCCATCAGTTATAGTTTAGAAGTAAAAGAGACTGATGCTTTGGCTTGATGCATTTCTGAAGGCACCCTTTTTACTGTCAATATTGGCCCTGCCCAATATTTTTGCATCACACGATTGGGCCAGCAAGTTACACCAAATTTATTTTTCCGAAATTTTTTGTTGCTAGTCTTAAAATATAATAGATTTTATAATTCCAACCGATTTTTTGTTTGTATGGGAAGTGAAGCAGTCTAATGTACATATGTATGTATACAAATATGTACTAGCAGACCCGGGGGACTTCGTCCCGCCCAAAATTAATCTTCCTTGAATCTGTATAGTACAGTTGGTGGCAATTTCAAAATGGGGGAATATCATTAGTCCACAGAAATCCTATATACACAGCCTTATTTCAGATGAAATACCTTAGATGTGTTACAATTGTATTTGTAGGTGTTTATCAAGAAGTTTCTTTATTCTGTTTTGTCGCCGTAATGCAAGGACCGCAATGGTTCTGGTGGTTGATTGACCGTTGGCAATTTAACTTTTGATCCTTGGTGTTTTCGAGTGACTCCACTTGACGATTTTTACCAATAACTCGACTCCAGCGCCACCTTGCAACTCTTTTTGAGCAATAGTACATATTGCCCATACCGTTGCCAATATATTTATATCTCGAATATGAGTCAAATCGGAAAATAAATACCATGATAAAAAAATATGAAGGTAGAACCGCTGAGAGGAATTTTTCAAATTCTTGACGTTTGCAAGCAATTTAATCTCAAACAACAACAACTTTGAACAATTCCTTTTTTTACTCTCAATTTTATACGATTTTAAAATGTTGGCAAACTTCAAAAAAAAAAAAACATCATGGCCGAGGCATTGAGAGAACGGTTTTACCTTACTATGCTTTTATCATGATAAATACGATTATTAGTAATAACTCGACTCCAGCGCCACTTGGCGTTTCAAGTTGTGAGCTTAAATTATGCAGGGACCCACTCAAACACATAAAAAAATCGTTAAAATCGTTAAAATCGTTTCGGCATTTAGAAGGGGTTCACCCACAAACACACGTACCGAATAAGTTATTTTACAGGAGAAGCAAAAACCATAAAGGCTGCGTTTCTTTATACATTCCAGATCATCCCATTTCACTGCCGGAATAAACCGAATACGTTTGAAATATACGTTAACATATCATCAGGAACGTTCTAAAGAAGAAGTAAACAAAAAAGTGGATTCCAAACGTTCAGAATGAATAAAGAAATGCAGCCAAAATGAGTATGAAAAACAGGTTGCATGTGGTTATTTTTGGTACTAACACTTTATAATATTTATTGAAGGTGTATTTTAATACATCCTACCAAAATCTGTGAAAAACGCAGTTTCGAAAAAAGTGATGGTTAGGGCTTCCGTGAATTAAGGTAAGGTTTTGTATTTACAGATATAAGTTTCAATATGTTTGGAAGGCGCAACGCACCCTTTTCCAATAACCCCTGCATTTCTCCATGAATATGAGATTGATTTCAATTACCTTGGTATCTGGTCCACATATCAGAAAAAAAGTATCCTATATGTTAATCCAGGCAATAAGCTACCTACTCACCTAATTTCAAGCAAATCGCACCGTAAATAAGATTATTTTCGAATAGATTGGTCGTCCCTGGCCCATTTACCGGAAAAAGGATCCTATATGCTAATCTAGGCAACAGGCTATCTGCGTACCAAATTTTAATCAAATCGAACCATAAATAGGATTTGTTCGAATAGATCGGTCCCTGGTCCACCTACCGGAAAAAAGTAAAGTACCCTACAAGAATTGTGTGATGGAAACTAACACATTCTCATTTATCTTACTAACACATTAGCAAATTTTGCGTTGGTTAAAAAGAGACCAAGAGAGACGGAAGATCACATGTACACAAATGTTTACATCCGATTTTTCACACTGCCCTTTAGAATTTGATAGAAACTTGTAGGTAGCTAGTGACAGAAATCTCTATCAGTCTTGCCACTCAAATGATTTGTCAAATGATAGTCACTGTTCTTGCAGGGTAGTATGACATGGCGTTTGCTGAAAGCTATTTACATACAAAATTTCATAAAAATCGGACCAGCCGTTCGCGGGATTATCTGTTACAAAAAAAAAACTTCTCTACATAATTAGTATAGGTACTTACATACATATACTTACAGTTTCTCCAAAACCTATGAAATTGAGGAAATACATATCGATGGCTGAGTGGCAGATCGACCTATCTCGGCAGCCAGTTCGAAAAAGAAAAATTTTCAACAACACTCTATCTCAGAAAACTTTTCAAGAACGCCCTACTTCAGAATATGATTGAAAAACGCCCTACCTCAGAATTTGGTTGAAGAACGCCCTATCTCAGCTTATTTTCAATGTATTTTAGTTTGAGATAGGGTGTTTCTGAACCGAATTCTGAGATAGGTCGTTATTCAACCAAATTCTGAGATAGGGTGTTTTTCAAGAAAATTCTGAAATAGGGCGTATTTGAATCAAATTCTAAAGTAGAGCACTCTTGAAAAAATTTCTGAGATAGGGTGTTTTTGAACTGGCTGCCGAGATAGATCGATCTTCCACACATCCATCGATATACTGCTTTGAACAAACAAATCGTACTTCGGGAAGATTCTATTACTTCACGTTACAAGCTTACATGCTTCTAAACACTTATTTATAATCAACGAGAAAATTTGAAAAATTTCACTCTGAAATCCTTGCACAAATTTAAAAGATTCCTACAGCTTTCAAACTCGCAATTCATTTTTCATTTTACTAAAGTGACTAATTTTTGCTTTAAGATCTGTTGTCTGAATTTTTTCAATTGCAGTTGAAAAATATTCTTTTTTGTGGCTGGTAGCTTGATTTTGATAGAGATGCCATAATGCCAGCAAAGGTCAAATGGCTAACATGGCGGCCATGGCGGCCAAAGTCATTGAGTGAAACTACCCTGCTTTTGGTAGCATGTATTTTAGTTTTATTTAGTCAGTGGTGTTGTTTGTTTTTCATAAGCTAAATTTAGTTTCATCAATATTTGTTTTATTAAATTCGCTTATTTTTTCTGTTGGTATTCAATTTACGCAACCGCGATAAATTAAATCTGACATTTATCCTTTACTTTTGCGTATGGACCATTTTGACTCTCCAACCACTGGAGACGGCTTAACTTGTTTACAACGAAATAGAGGCACTGACAAGTGAACAAAGCTTTTGTTTGTTTATTGTCAAGTAAATCAAAATATAAACAAATTTACAGGCGCATAAACAACCAAACATAAATAAAAATATTCCGTTAGCACTGCGAGCAAACAATAATAGCAAAATAGAAACGAAGAAACGAAAATCCTGCAGCAACGAAAATAAATACTAAAATGTAATTAGATAAATTATTTTTCCTCTTCCCGCAAATCTTGATTTAAATAATTTTTCACGAATTCTCCACTTATTAGGGCATTACTACAAGTGCCGCCATTCAATGAGCAGGTAATCGTCCTGAACACGCCAAATCGCAATGAGATACTCAAGGAGGGACTGCCAACGCACACCAAATATAAAATTTTGGGCCGCGGTGCCTTTGGGACCGTCTTTAAGGCGATTTATCGAGGTATGCAAAATGTTTAAATGTTTTATTGTTTCCGAAAAAATATTTACAAACAACTTCGGAGCATCAATTTGAAGTATTTTTATATGAAACGTAAATGTCTAAACAAAAATTTCTAAAGTATATTGAGAAGAGAAAATGGTGGTAATGCAGTGTAAGAAAACAACTTAAAGGATTTTGTGTGGCCAAATGTATATAATTTCTGTAATTTGACATTGGCCATAAGTGCTTATTTGTTACATATGTATATAAAAAATAAATAAAGTAAACAATTTATGTATGTACATAATGTTTGAAGACAAACAAGGATCTGTAGGAATTACGTACAAATGTACATAAACTAATAAAGCAGCGAATCTACAAATTTATCGGCGCCTTAACATAGAAAGGCTCTACCTAACATTTGTGTTTCTCTACGGAGTAATTATAAAACTTTATAAAAATAAAACTTCTTCATTTGCGAATTTCTGTGAATACTGGTCTTTAATAAATACTAAAACTAATTTATTGACAAAGTACTTATTTTAAAATCCTATTAAGTCGTTAGTGAGTAATTAACTGATTTATGTGCGAACCTGAATTAAATATGTAATCAGTTTGACGAATTTTAAACAAATTTGGTACACCAACTGCAGACTTTCCAAGGATGGTCATAGGTACGGTGACATTTCTAAAGCACCGAATCCGAACCTACAATTTTGTTTTTAGAATAAAAAGACATAACATCTTTTAATACACTTTTATTTAAAACAAAAAAAGAGAACAACTTGAAAAATGATCGCAAAAATGTACACAATAAGTGGCGAGAATGTAAATAGGGAAAGGATATTTTAGCAAATTCTGACTACTTATCTTTGCTTCAAAAATGTTTATTATTTTTGTATGAAAATATAACCGACTATCTAAAAAAACATGTAAATAAAATTTCTAACTTTGTAGAACGTTTATAAAAATTCAACGAACTTAAATAAATGTTGATCAAAATTTTAAACATTTTAATCAGATTTTCTAGAATATTTTTGAGTATGCAGTTTATTAGCCCGTTAAATTTTATTGTAACAAAGTTTAAGTTTGAAGTAGCTTGGACTTACCGTTCATTTATGTCAATTTTTTCTTCTCGCATATTCCTCCATATAAAGTATGTTCAAAAATTTGTTTGTATAGAGTAAATGAGTAACACCTTCCACAAAAATAATCTAGCAAAAATCAACGGTTAGTTCTAGCTACTTCAAATTTTAACTTTGAAGAAATCTATTTAGCTAAACATTTTATAACACTTGTCGAATTTTGCAAATTTTTGTGCAAATTTTGAAACTTAGACATACATGGTCTTTGTTAGATAACGAGTATACTTTCATAAAAAAGTAATAAACATTAAATGTCGCCAAAGAATGCTAAAATGTCTCTTCCCTATTAATATTTTCGCTACTGTATCTACAACTTATATTTTTTTGAGGGAATTTGTATCTATTATTTTCTATAATTTCACTAAATTCAAGTTAGAATCGTTACATTAAAAAAAAAAACAAAAAGAAAAACTTAACAAAGAATTGTACTAGTTATTTTTAAGCAAAAAACAAAACCGACTTCAACTCTCATATACAAATTTAAGAGTACCGTTAATTTCTTAATGATCTAATGGTCGAACCTAAACCAAATTGGTGTGGGACCACCTCTGTGGTACTACCTTTCTTTATAGAAATCGGTTAACGTGGTCCAAAATTATGCGGTAACATACATAAAAAAATATATTCCGATGAATTGATAACTTCCTTTTTTGAAGTCGGTTAAAGGAACTTAAAAAAATTGGAAAATAATGATAGACTGCAATATAGCGAGAGTACCAGTTTGACAGAATAAAACATAACCAGAGATCGTAGAAAATAAGGATGCTGGCTATGTTTATAGACATATCGATGGCTGAGTGGAAGATCGACCTATCTCGGCTGCCAGTTCGAAAACGCTCTATCTCAAAAAACTTTTCAAGAACGCCCTATTTCAGAATTTTATTGAAAAACACCCTATCTCAAAATTCGGTTCAAAAATGCCCTATCTCACTTCAAAATGTATTGAAAATATGCTGTTATAGGGCGTTTTTGAATCGGCAGCTGAGATAGGGCGTTTTTCAAACGAATTCTGAAATAGAGCGTTCTTGAAAAGTTTTTTGAGATAGAATGTTTTCGAACTGGCTGCCGAGATAGGTCNTATAAAGTATGTTCAAAAATTTGTTTGTATAGAGTAAATGAGTAACACCTTCCACAAAAATAATCTAGCAAAAATCAACGGTTAGTTCTAGCTACTTCAAATTTTAACTTTGAAGAAATCTATTTAGCTAAACATTTTATAACACTTGTCGAATTTTGCAAATTTTTGTGCAAATTTTGAAACTTAGACATACATGGTCTTTGTTAGATAACGAGTATACTTTCATAAAAAAGTAATAAACATTAAATGTCGCCAAAGAATGCTAAAATGTCTCTTCCCTATTAATATTTTCGCTACTGTATCTACAACTTATATTTTTTTGAGGGAATTTGTATCTATTATTTTCTATAATTTCACTAAATTCAAGTTAGAATCGTTACATTAAAAAAAAAAACAAAAAGAAAAACTTAACAAAGAATTGTACTAGTTATTTTTAAGCAAAAAACAAAACCGACTTCAACTCTCATATACAAATTTAAGAGTACCGTTAATTTCTTAATGATCTAATGGTCGAACCTAAACCAAATTGGTGTGGGACCACCTCTGTGGTACTACCTTTCTTTATAGAAATCGGTTAACGTGGTCCAAAATTATGCGGTAACATACATAAAAAAATATATTCCGATGAATTGATAACTTCCTTTTTTGAAGTCGGTTAAAGGAACTTAAAAAAATTGGAAAATAATGATAGACTGCAATATAGCGAGAGTACCAGTTTGACAGAATAAAACATAACCAGAGATCGTAGAAAATAAGGATGCTGGCTATGTTTATAGACATATCGATGGCTGAGTGGAAGATCGACCTATCTCGGCTGCCAGTTCGAAAACGCTCTATCTCAAAAAACTTTTCAAGAACGCCCTATTTCAGAATTTTATTGAAAAACACCCTATCTCAAAATTCGGTTCAAAAATGCCCTATCTCACTTCAAAATGTATTGAAAATATGCTGTTATAGGGCGTTTTTGAATCGGCAGCTGAGATAGGGCGTTTTTCAAACGAATTCTGAAATAGAGCGTTCTTGAAAAGTTTTTTGAGATAGAATGTTTTCGAACTGGCTGCCGAGATAGGTCGATCTTCCACTCAGCCATCGATATATTCTTATATCCTATGTCTTTTTGTGATAACAAAAGTGCTGCCACGTTTGTACGAAAAAAATCTTTGGGCCAGAGTATAGGGAAACTCTTATTAAATTAATAAAGAAAACTCTGAAATCGGGACTTTATCGGTACAAATATGAAAAATCGGGACACTTATACGTCCCGACTTTTAAAAAATATTCAGCGCGACAATTTTCTCAAAATCGGTACTGTCCTGCAAAAACCGGTACGAATGGTCACCGTAGTCATAGGCTATGTACATAGATATATAAAAGGCGTGACAGATTATATACAAATTGAAATTTTAATACTGAATGCATCTCTCTGGATATATTTTTGTGGGCTTTTGACAAAACAACTTCTCTCGAGTGAGGTCATTTTCTCTTCAAAGCAGTAATTCATTGAGTTTTCAATAATATTTTTATGTTTAGTCATCAACAGGGTTGTTCAAGATGCTATCTTAATGCAAGTTTAATAAAAATGTAAAATTTTTAAATAAAATTTCCTTACAATTTACTCTAATTTCCAACCTACAGACAACACAGAAGTTGTTTTGTCAAAAGTCCACAGATTTGTAGGAGAGTACTGGAACTTGTTATTAGTATATACGAAATAAATTCCCTACTCATGGAGAAAAATTTTATTGGGTCGTAATCTATGGAATTATTTGACGTAGTGTTCTGAAAATTTTAACCAAGGTTTATGTTATCAGTACCATACGGATAAGAGGAAGACGCCAGCTTTCATATAATCTAAAACCTTTATGATGCATACCTAACGCTCGTATATATACTCTTTTTGGTAGTAACGGGTGATTTTTTTGAGGTTAGGATTTTCATGCATTAGTATTTGACAGATCACGTGGGATTTCAGACATGGTGTCAAAGAGAAAGATGCTCAGTATGCTTTGACATTTCATCATGAATAGACTTACTAACGAGCAACGCTTGCAAATCATTGAATTTTATTACCAAAATCAGTGTTCGGTTCGAAATGTGTTTCGCAAACCCAATTGCTGCGAACGGCGACGAATCGACATTTCACGGTCTTCAGCAACACTCTCAGAAACAGACGCAATATTCTCTTCTGTACGCACTGTACGCATTCGTGTGGTTGGTTTAATGTCCAATAAAGTAAACTGAGTGCGAAACTTGGTCACAATCGCATTAATTGTTTGCTCACTTGGTCGATTATGTAGACCATAAATCGGACGTAAAGCGAACCGAACACTGATTTTGGTAATAAAATTCAATGATTTGCAAGCGTTGCTCGTTAGTAAGTCTATTCATGATGAAATGTCAAAGCATACTGAGCATCTTTCTCTTTGACACCATGTCTGAAATCCCACGTGATCTGTCAAATACTAATGCATGAAAATCCTAACCTCAAAAAAATCACCCGTTATAATACTTTTCCCAAATTCCAAAAATTGAAACTGCGCGTTTTTCAAAAATACTGCGTTTATAATTTTTTAGTGCCAAAATTTTTAATACATAGGCTGCATATCTTTATTCAGTCTGAACGTTTAGAATGAACTTTTTTGTTTACTTATTGGGCCGTATGAATAAAAACTAAGAAATTGCTTTTGCTTGAAATTTCATACCTTTTACTTCAATTTTATTTGAATAAATTGAGTAAAAGGTCTGAAATTTAAAGAAAAAGCAATTACTTATTTTTATTCATACGGCCCATTCTTTAGAACGTTCCTGATGATATGTTAACTTATATTTCAAACGCATTCTGTTTATTCCGGCTGTGAAATGGGATTATGCGGAATGTATAAAGAAACGCAGCCATAGTGTTCGTGGAAACATGGCGTTAAATGCCCAAAATTGAATTTCAAAAGCCTTAGTATTCCAAATGTTAGTCAGACTTATAAGCGATCTGAGTGCCATATTTCATCTAAATCCGTGTAGCCGTTTCCAAGTGAAGAGAGGTCTCGAATAGTGGTGGTTTTTAATTGATCAAATTTCAAATCACCCTGTGTACCCCAATAAAAAAGTTCTTAATTATAAAAATAAAGCTTTATCGCACATTTACAGGCTAAGGGGTTTAATTCGATCTCCCATTTATGACTGTCATAAAAAATTTCTTCTCGTATAATATACATACATATATACCTAGTTAGTACGATATGACTTTTCAAAAAGATGGCCAGCCTAATCAATGATCTTTTCAAACTAAAGCTTTCATAAAAATCTTTCGATTGATACCCGAATTTTAATATTAATAAATAAAACCTATGTATAAGTTAACTAAATTCGACCATTCAAACAGGTGGAAATCCCCTTCAGAAGTATTTTCAAACTTTCTCAAATCTATTTCGTCTGACATTGCGACAAACATATATTTCAATAAACTGATGAAATAAGTTGAATTTCATTTTTAAACCACATAGAAATCATCCTACATAAAGGTCAGAAATAAAGGGGTTTCAAACCCATTTCGAGTGACCACTCCTTTAATAATTCATTTAATTTTTTAAATATTTTAAATTTAACTATTTAAATAGATGGCAATCCTCTTGAAATACCTAAAAAAAGCGCATTTCTCTGAATTTTTTAAATCATTTTTGAATTACTGACGTCAGAGTGAAAAACTAAAAACGCAATTTTACTATATTTGGCCCATGGTTTCGCGAATATATTGATATTTGTGTTTAAAATTTACTATCGCGCGGTGTTATATGTATAATGAGCTAGACATTTATAAAAAAATATTAATTATTAAAAAAAAAGAAATATAGCCAATACTGGTCGAGAAAAGGAGTTTCTATTATTTCCATCAGTGCAAATTACAAATCCCGAAAATCCCGAGATTTCGAGACCTTAAAAAGTCCGGAATCCCGGGATGCCGGGATTAACATTCCTAGTTGTGCCACCTTTGAGGATCGTGTGCGATATGTACGTTCGGGAAAAATGGATTTACCCCTTACTGCATGTAAATAAGTATTTTATAAAACTATAAATTTCTTCTAATAGACGAGTAATGGAAATTTTGAGCGTTTGACAAGTGGTTAAAAATAGCAAACCCGGGTTATGGTATGCAGGGCTGGACGAATAGACAGACCGATACGGCTTAATCGAATTCTATCTTCATCTAAGCATTTTGGTATGCATAAGTATATCCATTTGGATTCCTTTAGGCTGTTACAAACAAACTTTATGTGAACAAAGTTATTCAGGCAGGTTCTGCAATTCACTTCTGAGTGAATTTCAACCCTTTCTCAATTTAAACTCGNTTAAATAGATGGCAATCCTCTTGAAATACCTAAAAAAAGCGCATTTCTCTGAATTTTTTAAATCATTTTTGAATTACTGACGTCAGAGTGAAAAACTAAAAACGCAATTTTACTATATTTGGCCCATGGTTTCGCGAATATATTGATATTTGTGTTTAAAATTTACTATCGCGCGGTGTTATATGTATAATGAGCTAGACATTTATAAAAAAATATTAATTATTAAAAAAAAAGAAATATAGCCAATACTGGTCGAGAAAAGGAGTTTCTATTATTTCCATCAGTGCAAATTACAAATCCCGAAAATCCCGAGATTTCGAGACCTTAAAAAGTCCGGAATCCCGGGATGCCGGGATTAACATTCCTAGTTGTGCCACCTTTGAGGATCGTGTGCGATATGTACGTTCGGGAAAAATGGATTTACCCCTTACTGCATGTAAATAAGTATTTTATAAAACTATAAATTTCTTCTAATAGACGAGTAATGGAAATTTTGAGCGTTTGACAAGTGGTTAAAAATAGCAAACCCGGGTTATGGTATGCAGGGCTGGACGAATAGACAGACCGATACGGCTTAATCGAATTCTATCTTCATCTAAGCATTTTGGTATGCATAAGTATATCCATTTGGATTCCTTTAGGCTGTTACAAACAAACTTTATGTGAACAAAGTTATTCAGGCAGGTTCTGCAATTCACTTCTGAGTGAATTTCAACCCTTTCTCAATTTAAACTCGAAGTGACTTTGGTTGAAATTCACTCGGAAGTGAATTGCAGAACCTGCCTGAATATCGCCACCAGAATTCACAAATGCCCTAACCAACAGTTTTTTCGAAACTGCGTTTTTCACAGATTTTGGTAGGATATATTTAAATACACTTTCCTTAAAATTTTGATTGCGTTAGTACCCAAAACAACGGATAGGTGCCACTTTTTAAAACGCCCTATACGTATGCATGATTTGATTTCTATAATGTTTTTGCTTCTCCTCTAAAATAAAAAATTTGTTGGTTAGCGCCTTTGTGAATTAAGGTAATAATATACTCTTCTGCCCTAAAGTAAAATAGAATTTTGATTTAGTCTCGGTGTTGATTTTTAACTGAAATGAAGTCACTCGAAAACAGAAATCTTACCAGTTTCTAATTGAAAAATTTGAATTGAAGTACTCATACATATGTACGATTTTTTTACATTTTTTTTATTACCAACAGGTCAACCCGTTGCTGTGAAGATCGTGCGAAATGGGAGTAAAGCGAATGCCCAATCGATGCGTAGTGAGATGCAAATTTTAGGCTGGAAGCATCGCAATATAATAACCATTTTGAAAGTAAGGGATTTGGAGTAGATAAAGTGTATATACTTTTAATAAGAATTTTTTATTTGAACAATGCATAGGTTGAAACTACATCAAATTTTGGTATAGTGATAATGGAAAGGCTTGTGGGACAAAGTTTACAAGACGTAATAGAAGCTACGCAGCTAATGCTGGAGCATAGAATTTTGTAAGTGGCTTTATTTTTCTTATAGCTAAAGTATACAGAAACAAGATTATTTAGAATTGGGACAATTTTCTCAGGCATTATGCCGTATTTCCACTGGGAAATGCAGGACAAAGTTTGGTATTTAATAATACCAGTATGTTGTTACGGACCAGATTTAAGATAAATATTGATAAGCCTCCAAAACTACCTTTCTTGAAATTGTAGCTTATTTTCTCTTGCGATACGAATTTTTAAACAGCAGATCAAGATACATATTGAACTGTTTATTTGCTCTAAAATTTATTTACCTGACTTTCATAGTTTTTATTAAAATATAGTTTATTTTACAACAAAATGCATATAAATTCAAGATGCAAACTTTATGCGGTGTATTTAAAAAAATGAAAAACAAGAAACTTTTAAGCAAGAAGCAAAACCGACTTCAATTCTCATATACACATTTCAGATTGTCGTTAATTTCTTCATGATCCAATGATCGGATTTAAGCCAAATTAGTATGTGACCCCCTGTGAAGCAACATCTTTCCTTTAAAAAAAGAATTATAGAAATCGGCTAACGTGATCCAAAGTTATGCGGTAACATACATAAAAAAAATATTCCGACGAATTGATAACCTTCACCTTTTTATGAAGTCGGTTAAAAAACTGATACTTTTATTTGCTGAGAAAATTATCTAACATTGTATGGAAGAAGATGCTGTGGATTTTTCGTTCTCCTGTCCCGGAGCTTCTTTGCCTCTTCTGAATGTAATCATGTACATTAAGGTGCATCACCAAAAAAAAGTTGTAGTTTTTCCACCGGAATTATAAAATTTTATTTTTTTTCAAAATTTCCTAATTTTTTAACCGACTTCAAAAAAAAGGAAAAGGTTATCAATTCGTCGGAACATAAATATGTATATATATATATATATGTACATATATATATATATATATATATATATATATATAGATTTATATTTATGTATGTTACCGCATAACGATTTCGATAATTCTTTTTCTATCGGAAAGGTGGTCCCATACTAATTTGGTTCGGACCCGATCATAGGATCATGAAAAAATTAACGGTAATCCTAAATTTGTATACGAGAATTGAAGTCGGTTGTGGTTTTTGCTTAAAAGTTACATGTTTAATATTTCGAATACTGAAAAAATTAACTGAACTTGTATTTTTTATTATGTAGCTCATTTTTGCGAAACGAATGCGAAGTTGGCAAATTAAATCTTCGAATCTTTGTTAAGTAAATATCAGTGGTAAACTCTTTTAGGCTGTAAAGTGTAAAAAAAGTAAGTGTACAGTAACAGTAAAGACAATGTTTTCATTCGCAGTTAAACTTTTAAGAGCTCTCAAGAAAAACGAAAAAATCATATGTACATATAAAATGACGCACAAGAAATGGAAACGAAATTTTCTTCTATCAAAATTTCTGAAATCAATTTGCCGCTCTCAAAAAAAAAATAATGTTCATACATACATATATGAATTTATTTTTCAAGAAAAAAATTTACAGAAACGTGCTTTTTCAAGCAACAAAAATAATAAAAAATATTTCTTGGGATTTTTCTTCAGAGCTGTATTCTAAAGCTGAGATCACACGATTGCCGCAAATGCACCAATCTGGAACAATTTTTATTGTGCTGTATTGGAGCACAATAAAAAAATTGTCCCAATCAAATTCTGTACAGTCACACGGTTGCCTCTTTTTATACAATTTTGATTGCCGCAAGTTGGTGAAAATCAATATAGTGACAACAATTGCCCCAAATTTATCACACGATTGTTCTAGCATGCGGCAATCGTGACTATAAGATGTTGCGCTGACTTCTAAATTCTGTTTTGTTCATTGTTGTGTAAAACTGGCGTATTCTTAAAAAATAGAAAATTGCATCTAATTTATATATTGTGGGCTCATTTTATGCATATTTGTTGTTTGAAAGCAAAGAAGCAACAACTTGAGCCCAATGAAAACTGACGCATTTATTTAGAAGTTTGAGTGTACAGTTTTTTTTATTTTTCGACGATAACTGCAACGTGCTAAATATGTGGAGTTCAAGTTACAAGAGTTTTCTTTTTAATTTTGGTTTTCATTTTAATTTTGCTTTTTTATTAATTACAAGTAAAATAAAATAAATAAAAATTTAAAATTTATACAACAATTATAAACATTTCTTAAACTAGACTGATCACAATTCAATGATTTTTAATTTGGATTTCTAGAAAAAAATTTGTTATGCAGTTTACAAAGTAATTTGCATCGAAGAAAGTGCATAATACCGCCTGCTAAAAAAATTATAAAAAATCGACAGGATTTTTTAGCAACTTCAAACTTGTACCTTATTGTACTAAATTTTATGAGCTATAAAACTGAATAACAATTTTTTTTTCTAGAAATCGAAATTAAAAACCGTGCAATTGTGTTCAAAAATTTAAGAAATTTTTATAATTTTTGTATAAAGCTTGCAATTTATGCGGTTTTTGTTAGACAATGAGCTATACTTTTATAGAAAAATAATGAACACTAAACAAATAGAAGAAAAATAGTCAAAACTGGTCAAAATGTTGAGGTTCTACCGTTTCGTCTGCGCTGTATTGAACTTTTAAGTTTTTTCTTTTTAATAAATTTATACTATCTGGCAGTTTGCCAATTGGTGACATAAAATATCTTTCGTATTCTTCTCGTATGAGTTTTGCTTGTGGTGGTATATATCGCAGCAAAGATTCCGTCATCGGACTTCAACAAAAATTATAATTTGAATACAAATTAAATTTAAAGTTATGTTGCTTCCGAAAACAAGGATATTCATTTCAGTGATTTTTAGACACAGAAGGAAGCAAACAAGTAAATTATAAATAAACATCCTAAATATTGTTGTGTATTGTTCACTTCAATTTCCGCACAAGAACACAATAAATATTGCCGCAATTTTGAAATTTTCATTGCCCTATGATTGCCAATCGAGCTATCACACGATTGCCGCAAGTGGGTCGTATTTGATTGGGCATTGTAAGCACAATATCGGCCTCTATTGCCGCATGAGTTAATTTATTGTGAAATCACACGATTGGGGCATAATATGAGGCAATAATTGGTGTATTGCGTCAATCGTGGGATCTCAGCTTAAGCCTTAAGATACAGTTTGTATTTGAGGTTATTAGCCTTAAGGGGTGTTTCAACCCCAAAATCTACCCCTTGTGTGCGCTAATGGTTATGATTCCCTGAGATACAGTGCGGTAGTCGGCGAACTCAGCATAAGGCAGTATTACCCGTTGCCGTTACGGTTTCTCGGACCTCTCAAGCCTAGTGCAAAGTCAACTGCGAGCTGCAATTAACGGACGATTTACTCAATCTCCTCTGGGTCGCCATGCGCCTGTCTGAGTATGCTTTTTAGCCCGACGATGGTTGCCGTTTACTCCTTTCTAAACGGTTTTGGGGAAAATCAAAATACTAAAATCGTTTAGTCAACTCGAAATCTAGAGGTCGAACCAGGTTCGTTATCGTTGAGGGAGAGTAAAGCTGAAGGCAGCAGGCAATTTTGGGTTATCTATCGCGAGCTGGGAGAGGGAGGGACTTGCACTACATGCCACCAAGCACTAGAGCAAAGGACAAAGCACTTCACCCTGAGAACTGCCCCTAAGAACTCCGCATGTGACTTATAGACCCCCTTCTGCCTGTAGATAAGTTACAAAGTTACTCCTTTCTTTTCATCTTATATGTACGACAAAGTTAATTTTTGAAATTTATGAAAGTCTAATAACATTTGCATCCAAGAATGATAGAATACAAGATTGCGCCGATCAGAGAGGATTTTTGAGAATAACTTTTGTGTGACGTCACACTGGTGCAATTGCGAGAGAGAAATGCCAAAACGTGAGCAAGAATGGAAGAAGAAGCAAAAATGTTGCAAGGAATACGTAAACAAGTTGCACCAGTGTGACGTCACGCAAACAACGATTCTGTCAAATTCGTTAAGAGAGGAATAGCGGTTCGAGATCGGCGCAACCTTTGTATTCTCTCAATCGTGATTTGCGGCCACTGTGGGGAAGTGGTTAGCAGTGCGCGCTATCATCTCGAAGTACTTGGGTTCAAGCCCGCTTCAACCCAACATCAAAAAATAAAACAAAAGTTGTTCCTAATAGCGGTCGCCCCTCGGCAGGCAATGGCAAACCTTCGAGTGTACTTCTGCCATGCTTATCATAAGAGCCGCACGCCACAAATCGGCGTAGAAGCTCGGCCAAACACAAACATATTATGTTAGCGCCAATCTATTATCATTATTATTATTTTTATGAACAACGCTTTTCTTAAATCCCTTCTACACCTATCACTGATTAGTGCATATATATACATTTTTAATTAATTATTCTAGCATTACACTGGATATCCTATCCGCACTTTCCTAT